GGAGAAAAAAATAGTGATGGGCTAGTTTGAGACCGAGGCAGAAGGCGATTAGAGCAAGAAATTCAACTGTAAAGTACATTCAAAGGCTCCACAAAAGCTTCGATGAATATTACAAGATTATACAAGGATCGTACTGCACGATTTTATAAGAAATGCAGACTTTAAGATTGTCATATGAAATTATACAAGATCTTGTGCACTTGTAGAAGATCATAATGCAAGTTCTGATATAATCTTCTAGGAACGTACAAGACTTTATATTCACATTCTTTGACCTAGAATCAACAAAGACACGAACATTCATCTTTCTCATTTATTTACAAAAATCACTCATAACAACAAATCATCTTCAAATATTCGCTCAAAAACACGAAAATCTTAATAAAAATCTCAATACAGTATAATGTGATGAATATAAAAATCTGTTTATTGGATTAACAATCGAAACAATTTAATTTCGAGATTTTGATGATTTCTTTTAAATTATGATATGTAAGTAAGAAATAATTGAACTAAAACGACAATTTTAAATAATCTTCAATAGTAATATAAACCATCATTAAGAACAATAAAAATAACAAAGTGTTTTCCGTTATTCTGATCTTATAACTCAAGGAAGAATTCGAACGAATTAATACGATTTGTTTTCTGTCAAACTTGTACAGTAAAGCTTGTTGAGCGGATTCCAAAACCAGTCGAATCCGAGTTCGAGTTCAAAAATTTTGGATCTGATACACTCTACCCTACACATTTCTCAGACGAATCATCTGAGAAAATGTAGGGTGTACTATCCATCGAATAGAAAAAATCGGAAAAAAGCATCTCATATCTTCGGGACTGCTATTCTGTTCTGATTAGAAAATTTCTTTGAAAGTATCAAAATACGTTCGATAGGGTGTAGGTTCGAAAAATTTCACTCAACCAGATCGAATCCGAATTTGAGGCCCAAAAAGTTCAATAAACCTGATGCGGATCCAAGTTCAAAAGTTCTGGACCCGACAGAAGGGTGTTAGTTAAAGTTATTTTATTCGTATTTGATTGTTTTGAACAATTTGAATCTTCTGATCAATCATCACCACTTACACATTTTTTGCATGCAAATAATCCATTTAGACTAACTATATCTTTAACTGATTTAAGCCGATTATAATTTTCAATTGGTCCAAAAAACTTTTGTTGCCAATTTGCTTCATTTGGATCAACCTCATTTATATATGCATCTGATTGAGGACATTCCGCCATTGTTTGTAAAATTTCGACTTGTTTTGTAACATTTTTAGCAAGTTTTTGTTGTCCTTCAGTAGATGTTCCATCAAGCCATATCTGAACATAGACTACATGAACAAGAGTAGTACGTCACGCTAAATTAGTACTGTTATTTTAAGTTGTATTCGGAACTTGTCCACCAGCAACAAGATATTCGATAAATGCTGCTCCTTTTGACCATTAATTTGAAGAAATACATCTGCAAGTTGATCTGATTGACTACGACCAATGCTTTCAAGAATAAGACATGAACCAAGTAGAACATTTCCATCCGTTTGATTTGGTCGTTCAAAAAAAGGTAAAAAAAAAGAAGAAGATTACGATTTGAGATGTTAAAATCACTATAGTTATTTGTAAGTTAACTAATTGATATATTAGCCACATTAATGTTTCCATTTGATAAAGAAAAAATTGTAGTTATTAGAACTTTCCTATTGAAACTGAGAGTACAATAGCAAAAGTTTCAGCAGCACCATTTTGTAATGCTCAAAATAAATCCGAATTTTGACATGCATTTACTATTTGCCGGCGTGCATCAACTATAATAACATCAAGTTCAAGAACTTGATCAGCAGTTTCACCTTTGAATCGTGTCAATGGACCATGAACAGCTCCTTGATGATGTGTGTGAGCGAATTTTGCTGTTCGATGTCTATTTTTACTCTATCTGTATTCACATTTATATGTATTCAGTAATTATATTTTTATTTACCGTAGCATTCATAGATAAAATACGCTGAAAAATTGAAGCAATTTTTTTGATAGTGACGGATTCGTACATATAAATTATATCTATGATACTCATCGATGTAACGAATGATGAAGAATTGCTAATAATGATTAATTTCTAAAAGCAAAGTATCGTTCAAAATCGTTACTAAAATAGGTATTGAAAATGAGAATACTCATCCGCATATAATTGTCGACAAAGCGTTACATATGTATTTTTTTAGTTTTGTATATTATCGATTATATGTTTTTTTAATAATCCTTTTAATAAATATTCATTTGTTTTCTTTGAATATAAATCTTGTGAAAAAAAATGAAAACTAACATGATATACCAATATCTTTATTCATATTCTAACGAAAGAATGATAATTAAAAAGATCGAAGGATAGGTGATTTTTAAGTCAGTTCCATCGAATATATTGATCGTTGAAAATCAAATCGAATGCATACTTGACTATAAAACGATGATGAAAACTTTAAGACCATTCAGCAGTTGGATATCCTCGTTCGAATTTAAAATCAGAGTAACTTCAAAAAACTAACATGAATGTATTAATTACAATCGACGGTAATATAATAAGAAAAAAATTGAATGAATTCATATGTATGTGATACTTTAAACGATCACACATGAAGAAATCTAATCATTTTGACTATTAAAAATATCAATCTTTTTTTTTAGCAAATGTTCCACATTTTTCGTTGACCCTTTCCTATCCATATACATGATGCTAATTTTTTCCGCGGGCTAATCGATAAGTGTCCCAATTAGTGATGAGCGCGACCACTGATTTTTGGTCCTGATCAGAAAAAATTGTTGGTTTTGATTTCGTGCTTAGCAATACATGCACTAGCAAAAAAAGGCAATATGATTTTTCTAGTAGTGTTATTAAGCTTGAGACATTTTGCACGACCTACATGACTTCTAATATCCTCCCTCTTGGAGATTCAATAGTTTTCTTTTTTTTTTTTTTATTTCACTAATACTTCGTCTATTATACATGTTTATGTGTTCGAGAATTCTGTTGTTTACGAAAAAAAAAGGATTAATTTTACTATCAAAATTGTAACAGCAAATATTGAAGTAATCGTTACTCAATAATTTTCATATAAACTTTTAGAACACATCAATCATGACAACATAACATTTGATGTAAGTTTTACACGATCATACAAGATATCAGTCGCAATGAAAAAGTTTTGGCTATGGTCCCGATCGGCCGGAACCATCTTGCTTATATCTAGTTTCAATTCTTAATGAATAGATGTGTGTAACATAAGATCTAGATACTCGATTCATTGTACAAGAAGAGTTACGAAAATCTTCATTGTACTTCATGTCTATCAAAGTTAATGCTGGTTTATTTATATAAAAAAAAAGTCCTGATACAATTAGCATTTTTTGATTTTACTAAATAATTCACATGTAAGTGGACTATCTAATAATCCTTTGGTTGTAAATATAATTTCTCGACCTTTTCGTACACTTAATTCATCTTCTCCATATTGTTTAATCATTGTTTCATGAAATTCTTTTATTTTTTCTTTATGACCCATTGCTTCTAATTCTTTAGCTTGTCGATTAATTTCTCCAATTCCATATTTTGTTGCATTTTTCATATATTGTTCATCAACATTCCATACAGTTGGAATTGTCATTAAAACTTTTTTCCATTTATCTAATAATTTTTTATCTGTATTTTCACGAAATGCATCTTCTTTTGAACAACCAGGTTTTGTTTGCATATCTTTTAATTGACATACATATTTTCTTGATACATGACTAAGATATGATTGTGTATGTTTAATAAAATGTTTTAATTGACGAATACCAAAAAACTCTGGTTTTATATAAATACGTTCACCAGCATATTTACCTTCGCTACGAATTGGTGGAAGTTCACCAAAAAGTATATGACCAAAACCACTAGGCATACCTATAAAGAAGATAATTAATTGAGAATTCTTTTTTTTTTATTATTATTTTTCGTTTGTTTTTTTTTTTATACATACAAGCTCCAGGAATATCCATTCCATAAGCAGGATAATCACGTGTACGATCCCATTTTGAACCTCGTTCGCCATGATAATGTGAACTTTCATCACCACGAACATAAATAAATGTATCGGATTCAATTAAATTGGTTTGATTGTTTGATTTTTTTGAGCTTTTAAATAATGAATGAATAGCTTGTTGACCCATATGTTTAAAACGTTTAAAATAACCTGCATGTTTTGATCCATCACCTGCTTTTTGTTTTTCTTTAGCTTTCATTAATCGATCAAATATTTGATTTGTTGAATCAAAAATAACAAACATACCTAAATGAAATGTTAAAAATATAATTAAATTAAATTTTAAATATCTTCTTTTCAATTTACCTTTCGTAAATGAAACTGATTTATTATTGAGTGATGCTTGTTGAATAAAAAAATGCATTAAATTACACATATTTTCTGGATTAACAAATTTATATGAATCAATTTCGGTTGCTAATTGTCGAAAAAAATTTCGACCATTATTCGCTTTTTTTGCACCAACATTAAGTTTAGATGAAACACAACATTCATTTGTTGTTGCTCGTTTTGTACGACTTTGATGATGATGATGATGAAACCAAGCAAAACTTTCCGCTATTAATAGTAGTAATACTAAGAAACAGATACTTTGTTGTATGTGCATTTTTATTAGATAAACAAATACGTATGCGATTAATTGTGTAAAATGGATGAAATGTAAGAAGACAAATAGATCGATATTTGTAAAGAATAAAGAAAATGATAAGAACAGCAAGAAATATAATCAATCGAGGGGGGGGGTGAAACAAAATTCCTTTGATAGACGCAATTTTTTTACTATTATAATCGTAAGCAGTTGCTTTAATCAAGCTTTTTTTTTGTAAACATATATATTATTAAGATGTATTTGTTTTGCTTGCTTTCTATTTTATTTGAATACTGTACATTCTAAGATATAGATGTTTTATTGATATAAATGTTTTGTTTATATTAAAAAATAATTATTTTGAATGTTATTAAAACGATCTATCTAGTAAAAGATGATGTTTATTGAATATCTTCTCAATGGACAAATATTTTAATCATAAATCAATATTTGTTAGATGACACATTGAATAATATATTTGATAATTATTCTGTAGGATTTCAAAATAAACAATGATTTCAATAATTCCACATTGTAATTATTATACTTATGATTTCCGAAAAAAAATTTTCTGTGCGATATATGACAATTGGCAATTAATTCGTGAATTAGAAAAAGATGAACAAACTAAGTGTTTGAGATATGTCAGGTAATTCTTTTTCCACGAATTCCTTATGTAAATTTTCATTATATTTGTATAAACTAATATATAAACACACATTCTCTCATTGCTTCAATACATTTATATTAAAATTTCATCGATTCGTTTTCTTTATCAATCAAACACAGTACAATATGGCGAAGTATACACCTTCATTCATATCTATGGATATCTATATTTAACGTTCACTATTATCCACAACAACGATTGTTCAAAATTGTAATCAAGATATGTCAAACATTGAGATTCGAAAATTTCTCACAGACAAAGAATTAGATGAATGTGTTCATTTACAACAACATGTATGAGAATTCGACGACCTAGACACTCCTTCACATCGTATTTTCCTTGTTAGCAGCTATATGAAAAGTATTGTATTGAGTGCATTTGTATCAAACAGTACAGGACAACCATTACTGAGTTTTCTTTGAGTTTACCAAGTATTTACCCTAAGACAAAAAAACATAATTTCTTTGGATAAGTTGAAATATTTGATGTATATCCAGATGCACATAACTACCAAATTAGTCAACAATTGAGTTTTATCTGTCGACTGTATACATCGGCACACTATGATCTATTTGCTTAAAAAATTATCAACAATTTGAATACATTAGGAATGATGAATTGATTGGATCTAGAACGTAAAGTAATCGAAATTCCATTCATATAATAAATTGTTCTATCACAGTCTATGTGCTACTTGAGATGAAAGAATGGAAATGTAGAGAAAATTCACAAGCAGCTAAAGCTCAAATTGATATTCTCGAGAAACTTACAGCACCTTTCGAACAAAGTTTTTTATTATTTTAGGATTCCATCTAAAATAGAATGGCACTAGTCTTTAACAAATTGAACATTATACATGCAATGAAAAGAATGAATCAATAAGGAAATTCTTTTGATGATTTTTAACTTACAATCTTTTTTTCTTTACATGAGAGATGATAAAATCACAGCCGAGAACTAGATGCTTGCTGTTATACAATATGTAGAATTTAGCATGTTCACTTAACATTTGATATCAATCATACTTCTGGAGAAAAAAGATTTCATAATGATGTGATATCAGTTACATATTCCATAGTTCAATATATTCTTTATGAGATCAATGTACTTTGAAAGTTAACTGTTATCAATTATGTGCTTATCATTATTTTTTGCATAGTTTTCGTATATTTATCGGATGAATGGAATAACTAATAACTAGATAGATCACTTGAAATAGCATGGTGTTTTTCCAGATGCCACTATCTTTAAGTATAACATACATTCATTTGAAGAACCATTGTGTGTGAATAGTTGCTTCACATGTATGCTATTTGTTGCTGGCTCAACGATTGCTAATCATTTGCAGTTACAACCAATAATAATTAGAAGAGTCTACTTATGGTTTTATAGTATGTTTTTTTTGAAAGATTTTGAAGTGCCGGATGATTCTTAATGCCATACAATCGTTATGAATACAGATAGATACACACGTATAAAGAATTCCATTAAGAACTCAACGCCATAAATCTAAAACATGAGAACTTATAGATTCGTTTGTGCATAAATGATTTAGTGTATTCTTTGCGGATCATGATGAGAAAAAACTGGTAATTATACAATCGCTTAAAAAGCATGCTGATGAAGACAAATAGCATGATATGATGAGAACTACAGAATTTCAATTTTTTCACTCTATACTAAAGATAAGTATTCTATATGAATTAAATATATCTTTGAAATTTGAACTGAAATGTATTGAAACAGCTTTCTACTTTTGATCTGTTTTATCTATTGACAACATGAAATAATTCAATCAAAGAATCAATCAGAATCCTTATATCACAGTAATCGAGTCTGCTAATGAACAGCATAAATTTATAAGAGCAATATAATAGTATGTTCAACATTATTTGACAAGATGTTCTGTGTTCGTCATCAATATAATATTCAATAGTGTTCTACATTGAGCTGATTTATACACGTATAGAAAAGTGAAAACATGAAAAAATAGGTTATCGAATATTTGTTACATGTTTAGAACACATGTAGGATTCGATCCTTCGTACAATGTCACTCTCACAAAATTTGAAACCAATTGTAAAGAGCATTGTTTATTTGCATAGACAATGGTAAGTCACGAGCGCTTCATGTCGTCGTTTATAGATGAAATTGTTGTCGAACCCGATTGAATATTTTATTGTTAGTTGAACGATATTCTAAGATACAAATATGTTTCCGTACTTATTATAAATCACTATCAATTGATCTTATAAAATCAAGATAATATCAGCAACTAATGGATGTAGAAAATACTTTGATCATAAGAATAAAACTTGTGAAAAATATTCTCATGCTTGAATAATTTTTGAAATAGAAGGCTTTGTATATGTCAAAGTCAAAACATTGTTGAGAAGTAGCAGAATCAGCTCTTATGATCAGTTATATTTGCGCGCTTTCTTCTATGTTGTAATTTCTCTCCTGAAGAGTATGGCTACAGACGCTGATAAGATCTTCTCTCTATCCACACCTTCAAGTTCATCACGACATGGTATTAGCACTGAACATATTTCTATAATGGTTGTCGATGTCGATAACAACTCCATATTATTGTGGTAAATTCTGAGGAAAACAATGTTCCTATTTTCATTAACAAAGGCTGACGATTCTTTTGCTGCTTGAATAATCTGGGCAACTGATTTTCAACAAAACTTTGTCATAACAACAGATATTAATGAAAATATTTAAATTGACATTATTACTTCACATGTTCATGCATACAATGTCGTCATTTTTATTAACATGAGAAACGATACATAGACGGACCAGGTTTAATCTATTCAGTATAGAGATTCATGTTATATAATAACATCTAATGTTAAACGAGAAAACCGACTTGGCATCATTGCTGAGAATATAGAAGCGAATAGTGTTACATTTTTGTTTTTAAATACTGCAACTTATATATAATTGTGGAATAATATTGAGTTGATATCCCTAATTATGATTCAAAGAGTTCATAGATAGTTCATTTAAATGTTTATGTTGTTTAGAGAGCTGTGGAGTCATGCTCTTTTAACTGCGACTACGAAAAACTCTGGAATTTTTTTTTCTATAAACTAGCAACAGCTCACTTAGATAATCTAATAAAATAAATAGCTATTATTTAATACAATATTGTAGATGGACATTACTATACAAAAAAAAATCAAGATATTTTTTAGAATATCATCATAAAAAAAAATCCTTTTGTCGTCTAATTGAAATTAATGGAGTTAAAATATATTTTATTGAAAAAGATCAGGACAATATTATAGATTAATTTCAACATTGAAAAAAGTCTTATATAAATATAAATGTATGTTCTATTTCATTTCAATCATCAGCATCTTCAGTTGGTTGTGGTACAAGTTCAAGTGGATGTTCATGTCCTTTCTTTTCGCATGCCGAACATAGATCATAATTACCACATGTTAAACAACGATATCTTTGACCAATAAGAGGAGCCACTTGACATCCATCACATGAGACATATGACCATTGAAATTCTTCTGGTAAAGGAGGAGATAATTTTTCTCCTCGTCCCCATGTTTTCAATGCTTCAATTCCTTTAGTTGAAATATCATCACGGCCACGACGTGACAAAACTTGTCCATCGGATGAAACGATAAACAATGATGGAATACCTTTACAGAAACGAATAATAATCATTGTATAAAGTCAATAAATTAAATATACACTTACCAGAATATTGAAAATATGCTTTGAGAAGGGTACCAGCATTTAATGGAACAGCAGGCCAAGGCATTTCTTTACGATAGCTATTGAATGATTCTTCATCTCGATCACATGATACAAAAATAATACGACAACCATGAGAAGTTGCTTGTGCTTCTTTATAAATTTCTGCCAATTTTGGTGTAAAACCACGACAAGGTGGACACCAATGAGCAGAGAAGTAAAATCCAACACTTTTTACATCATTTTCCCACATTGTTTTTGTTTCAATTTTTTCTTCATTATTAGGATTAAGTAAATAAGGAACTGATTTTAAAAGTGCTTCTAATGAATAATGTTTTTTAGGTATGAAATATTCAACAAGATGATGCTCATGCTTATTATTTGGTAGACATGTTTCACATAAATTAATATCACATTCTTGATGTGTACAACCATGACGTGAACCAACCAAAGGACTCATATGACAAATATCACAAGTAGTACCTTCCCAAACATATTCACCTTCACGTGCTTCACGTGACCAAAATAAACGTTTTCCTTGTGACCATTGATCTATAGCTTTATTGGGATCAGCACGCACTTCTTCAACACCATCCGAAGTAATTTTTTCACATGTAGGAGAAAGAACAACCAAAGCTGGAATACCTTCGACATCAAATTTTTCACCCAATGTTTTTGAACGATCTCGATCTAAATAGATATTATTTTATTGATCAGTTCAATTTAATTTACAAAATTCTCAAAATGCTATCAATTCTGAATTAATATTTAATTTAGTATATTTTGTGGAACACGGTCTACGAGGAATGTTGAACTATATCGAGTAGAAATTTACACCTCCTACAGACTGTGGCAAACGTTGGTCAGAGATAGGTACCGTCGGATCTGATTAACAGAAAAATTTCATATCCATACTCGGTTGGGTTCGAAACCAATCTGACGGGCTCTACTCAAAGACCATCACAGACGTTGTTGATATACAATCAAAGACCGTATATCAATAACATATCGTTATAATATATATATATATACTACTTATGATATTTCAAGAGAATTAAATAAACGGATGGCGAATAAATGTATCCCAAAAAAGATAGAATAAAGCGATTTTTCTGGGATTAGCAAGAACAGGTACATTGCGTTTCATATTTTAATCCTACACAGATTGTGGTAACGGATTTTTCTTTCAGAAGAAATAATAGAATGAAAAAAAAAATGCTATTCAAACTCTTCTCATCTCTTATACGGGGAGATATTCTTTCAGTATTTGCTTAATACCTCTTGTTATTATTTAAATATAAAAGAGAGATTTAACATACCAGAGTAAGGTAAAGCTTTCCATGGCATCTCCTTGAAATATTCATCAAACGAAGCTTGATCTTCATCACATGAAACAAAGACAATATCTAATTTGTCTTTGACTTCTTTATTAAGTTCTTTAAAAATTTGAGCTAATTTTGGTGTAAAATTTCGACATGGTGGACACCAATGAGCTCTAAAACAAACATCAAAATATATTTTTGTGAATTAATTAATAATAAACAAACGAGAAATAAAGTGCAACAGTTTTTCCATTAAGTTGATCCGTTGATATTTGATTTGATTCACTGCCAGATTGATTATGTTGAAGAAGTTGTTCACCTAACAACTCACTGAAAGTCATCGCTATTTTTCTACAATAAAAATGTGAAGCACAAACATAATAGTGCTCCGTTTTATAGAAAAAAATAAAAAGGGGGTGCCGTCAATTACCACAGAGTTGTGTAATACACATGCACTGTTCTTCAGTTGACTGTTTTTTGCGCTTTCTGTCGGCTTATTCATGCATGTTTTTTTCTTTCTGTTATAACACGACATATAGAGGTTTTTTTTTAGAGCAACGTTTCCTTAGAAAAAGAATATTACCATATAAAGAAAAAGAAATTTTTCCATGGACTCGAGTACTGATAGTAACTTACGGCAGAATGAATATATGATTATTCATAAATTAATCCAATGCGTGAATCAACTTACACAGTTAGTTTTTAGCACTGATGAATATGTCTGAATATTCATCTAAGAAATAAAAAACACAACACGATGGAGTACAACGAAAAAACAAGAACAAATGAGATCATAAACATATGTCAGCATTTGATTGTAATCAAATAAAATCGTCAAACGATGACAGATAGATATAGGGAACTTCGAATTTTAGTAAACAACCGAATTCAGCAGGAAAAAACGTTGTTGTGAAAAAGCTTAAAATTAAATTTCAAGAAAATTATGGTCATCCTCAATCTTTACCAAATGATTACAGGAGCCTGAACTTTTTTTTATTTTCATTTTTAAATGAATTCTATTTCTTTCAAGGCTCAGCGACAGTCTTTGCGTTAACTTAGCGATTTGTCTATACATTTGTATTGATTAATTTTTCAAAATTTTACTTTCGAAAAATCAATCGGTTATGCTCAATAATAATAATTATTATTATTTTAGACGTTATAAATATTCATAATAGAACTTATTAACTTTATACTATAACATCGATATTTAACTAAAATTACGAATGCTTTAATAAATGTATATGATCATTAAATTGATTCATTTTTATTGTATGTATAGTGAAGGAAAATACAAAATGAAAGCAGAATTTTTCTGTTGTTAGTTTTATATATGGCTAGATAGAATGTGATGAGTTGGTCAAGAATAAATATGTTTTCATTTTATTGGAATAACTTTTTAGGAGAAATATTTCAGTTTTTTTTTTCAATTACCTACTTTTTCTGAAAAAGAAGTCAATTTTCGATAACTGACAAATTGTCAATTGACTTTTCTTTTCTTCAAATTTCAAGGAAAAAAAATAATAAAAATTGACCTCTTTCTTCGAAAAAGTAGGACATTGGAAAAAACTGACACATTTCTCCTAAAAAGTTACTCCAATAAAATGAAAACATATATTCTTGATCAGGTCGTCACACTCTACATAACCATATATAAAGTGTGGGCAATGCAAATTTCGAGTAAAATTTTTTTACATCATTTGATAGAGCGTAAGCTGCTGACCATGAAAAACTACTTTTTAGCGTTAGTAAATACTTTTTTTCGGTCGAAAAATACGAAAAATTTCAATGGTGTCATTTTTTTTCAAAATATGCAAAATTTTCTACTTCATGTTTTCTTTCAAACTCATCATAAAAAACTGACTGCAAACAAATTGTTAAATCGATTCTAATCTCAAAAATATTTTGATAGTAGCGCTTCGATTCGCAATGGATGTCTTACGTATAAGGTCGATTTTGTAAACCTATATAGGTTTTCTGCATAAGCGATGAAGTCGAATATTTTGTCTGATTCGATGCATCATACCTCCAGTTACAAAAGTATGTATCGCATTTTTTTTTCTTTGTTGGAAAAAACCTGTTTTTCTGAATTTTGGACGAAATAGATCGAATTTTGCTCGTATTTCTCCATAAAAACAAAGCGTTCATGCAAAAATCTTATCATATTCTGAATCAGGGCGAAAAATCGAATCGATTGATATATAATTTAACATTTTCTGTTGACTTCAGTTTTCAAATGAAAACCTGGCTGAAACTTTCATCAAAACATAAAAGATAACGAAATTTCTTAAAACATACATTAATCGATTCAGTTTTTTCGCGCTGATTTCGAATATGATAAGATTTTTGCATGAAAGCTTAGCTTTTATGAAGAAATATGGGCAAAATTCTATCTATTTCGTCCAAAATTCAAAAAAACAGGTTTTTTCCAAGAAAGAAAAGAAAAAATGCGATGCATACTTTTGTAACTGGAGGTATGATGCATCGAATCAGACAAAACATTCGACTTCATCGCTTATGTAGAGAAACTATATAGGCTTACAAAATCGACCTATACGTAAGACATCCATTGCGATTCGAAGCGCCACCATCGAAATTTTTTTTGGGGTTAGAATCGATTTGACAACTTGTCTGTACTCAGGTTTTTATGCTAAATCTGAAAAAAAAACGGATGAAGTAGAAAATTTTGCACATTTTAAAAAAAGATTCGTTTTTTTTCAAAAAGAACCCCTTTCAAGTTTTTAGTATTTTTCAACCTAAAAAAAGTATTTACTAACGCTAAAAAGTAGTTTTATTATTTATGTAATTATCGAACAGTAAATCGTACATATGATCGTCATGTACCGAACGAAGAAATATAATGATTAGCATGCTTTTTTTTTTACTATTTAATATCTGTGTTATTTATAATTATAGTGAATTAATATGCGATGCAACAGTTTTTAAAAAAATGTCAAACTCTGTGAAATCATATTACTGACTTCTAAATCAAGAAAAGTTTTTTTCTTATTATTAGCAAGAACAATTTTTTCAGAACGAATCTGACGAGGAAGAAAAGTCCAAAGCCAAACACCTTCAAAAATTCTTGTAACTTCACTATTGAATAACAGCATTTTTTATTTCCTGTGATTTTTTTAAAACAGAAACAAAATGAAAAAAACACATTTAATACTAATTTTTGTAGCGCAAAGAGTGCACCTTCCAATAGTGTACTAGAAGTTGAGATGATTCTTGGTTTTATACCAAAATTTAGCTTTTCCTAAAAAGAATGACTGAGTAAGTTGATCATTCTTACTACTTGATTGTTTTATAACGGTAAAACTAAGTTTCTATGATCTGACATATTTTGAATAAACAACGCAACAAGAATTCACTTCATGCATAATTTCTAGACATGATGGCTTATGTTCTTGCAAATTAATATTTCTTGGAAAATGTTGTTTTTTTTTGCAGAAATTTTATTTTTCAAACTGTTTTGATTAAAGAGTCAACAAAAGATCTAACAAATTTTGCCAAAACTGATCTTGATAGAGTTTTTGATATATTTTTGTTCTAATTTGATTCATCCATGTAGCTTCAAATAATTCAGAAATACAGACTTTTCAAGTTGGAAAAACATTGCAAGAACTTTTTTAGAGGTGTTTGGTTTTGGACTTATCCTCCTCGTCAGATTCCTTTTGAAAAAATATGTCTCGTACAAATTTATAGTTCAAACATCGCTCGTTCAAACGAAAAAAAATCTTTCTTGATTTAGAAGTGAGCAATAAAGTATAACAGAATTTGACATTTTTGCAAAGACTCTTTTCATCGCATATTATTCAACAGGAATATATGTATATTGTTTATGTATGCGTAGATTCAAAGGAATAAACGATAACATTTTATTTTCATTAACCATCGCTTTCATAATTATATAGAATAAGTAAATGAGAAGAGATCAGATTTTTACGTTCATTTGACAGGGAAAATTAAATAGCTATGTAAATGTTATTTTCTATTTATTTCCCTAAATTAAATCTTTTGAAAACTAAAGATGAGCATTTTTCAATAACAACATCGGCTATACTGAATATCTGAATCATCAATATAGACTGTAAAGCAACGTCAATAATGTGAACGATGGGAAAAGTTTTCTTTATATTCTAATTGCTTTCTATAACATTATATTTGTTTAAATCAAAATTTCAATATTGATCTTCTATAGATCTGTAAACATCATCCACAAAAGTTCATAATTTAAATATTTGATATTGAATCAACAAATCTTAAATAATATTTGTTAATTAGCAGTTAGATTTTGGTTTAAGCCGTTGAGTTGAACAATAAAAGATTATCGTTTTCAAAAATATTTATCAACGTTTCTATTGAAACTATGAATAATAGTAGAAATTTTATTAGTAAATATATTTTTACGCTATTCGTTTTTAATGAACGTCGTGGTCCCCTCAGGAATATTAAACAAAATTGGTTTTCGAATTTCGACTTGAAATTTTGCATAGAAACAGATCTTAACGAGAATAGTTTATTGTGGAAGTTTCAAGTCTTCTGATTAACTTCTATCCTGAAATAAAAATATCGAATCTGTCGATGTTTATGAGCGATGTAAAAGATATACTATTACCATAGCTCAATCTTAAGATAGGAACAACGAAAAAATCTGAAACTTTCACGACAGATTATTCTCATTAAAATCTGTCTCCGTACAAAGTTTTAAGTCGAAAATCTAAAATAAGTTTTTCTAATTCACAGCACTCATTTCAAAGATATCATAAAAGTGCACTATCTTCGTAAGCAATAAACCAAGGACACGAACTCTTTTCAGGATATTCATAGCTCATTTGGATCTGCATAATGTACATAGTCTCGACTCAAAAACGATTGAACAAATCCAAGACTTTTCTCGTCAAGCCGTCTATTAATTTTTTTTATTTCTATTACACTATAGAGTATTTCTATTAATTTTTTCGATATCATCACTAAATACAGTTAAAATATTACATCTATACACAAGTTTCAAAAAATCAATTAACTACTTAAGATAAGTACTAACCAGTTTGTATTTAATATATTAAAGTATTGATATTACATATGAATTGATTTCAATGTAATGCATTCTTATAATACAAATAAGCTTTCTTATTGCTAATGAACGCAAAAACTACGAACAAACACGAAGCATATTATTGATTAATTGTTTATTTCTATACAAACGAGCTGAATTATAATGTAAATTAAAAGAAAACAGTGACTTAGCTTGAATAGAATAATACTATTGAAAAACAATATATCAATATCACAATACAAATAAGCAGCTAGACTACATATATATATATATATATAAAAAAGAAAACAAATAAATGAATCTGATAAATTATCTATTTATAATTCAGTTGCTTTTCTTTTAGCTTTTTGTAATGCTTCACTCTTTTCTTCAGCAGTTTCTGCAGCTTTTTTCTTTCCTTGTTTTTTCGTTTCTTGAGCATATTCTTTAGCTGATTCAAGTGCATCTTCGCCTAAAAAGTCAAATAAATAATTGAAATGAAATAATATTCAATATCTAATGATAATGCTTACCAGCATGTCGACCTGTTTTCAAAGCTTCATTAGCTGAAAATATATACAAATAAATAGGATATACTTAAACAAGACACACAAACCTTTATCTCTGCCTAATTCAACAGTTTGCTCCGCTAATTGACGAAAATTAAAACAAAACCGATCAATATCAATTACATATAAAAAATATACTCCCTTACCCAATTTTCGACCTTTTTTAACACCATCAGCACCATATTCAAGTGAGGCTTCATATGCCTCTGCACCTACAATAATTAAACAATAATTTCGTACAGAAAAAAAATATCAAGACAAATTCAAATTACCTGATTTTTTCGCAGCTTTGAGTGCTTCATTAGCTGCAAATAGAAAAGAAAAAAATTAAGATCATCAGTTACAGAAAATGATAAATATTACCTTTATCTTTTCCAACTTCAAAAGCTTGTTCACTCAATTTTTGACCTTGTTTCAAACCTTCTTGAGCATATTCTTGACTAGCTTTAGCTGCATCAGAAGCAAAATCTTGAGCTAAATAAAATCAAAATCAATTTCATATTAAGATCAAATGAAATATTTTATTTAATTTTTTTTTACCTGAAGCTTTAACATCATCAGCAATTTTAGCTAATTTTTCTTTTGCTAAAATATCAGAGAAAAAACTTATTTAATCAACATACAAAGATACTTACCAACATCAGAATATTCATCAGCAAGTTTACCTAAAGTATGAAAATTTATTTCCACAAAAATGAAAAATAAAATATAAAATTCTTACTTCCAGCTTTATAGGCTTCTCCTGCTTTGTCTTTCAAATATTCTGTACTATCGTCTACTTTTGGTTTAATAGTATCATATGCCGTATTAGCTGCATCTTTTACCTGAAAATATTGATATATATATTGAATAGAATGTTAAAAGAAAGAAATAAATATAACGTACTGTTTCAACAACTTTATCTTTCAGTTCAGCAGCAGTTTCAGCAGCTTGTTCAGTTGCTGACTTCTTGGCTAATGTAGCCGAGAGAAAAAGGATAACACAAATAATTGATAAAAATTTATTCATTGGTATGTTTGTTTTTTGTCGAAATTAATAGTTCGATTTTTTAGTTAATAGATCTAAATGAAAGTAATATATTTGGTAACAAGAATAAAAATAGTGCGCCAAATTGTTCGAGAGTATGTCTATATGAATGAGAAATAAAAAACAGAAATGTCAATGAGGACAATTTGTTCGAATCACGTGTTTAAATGAAGACAGGGACACGTGACTAATCATGCGCAGTTATACAAAAGCTAAACTCAGAGATGCACTGCATCAATGAATAGAAGTTTTCTTTATAGATAGCGCACTCACTATTTATATAATGTATTTCATTTATTATTATTTTCTATATAAATAATTTGTCTAATTCGTTTTCTTAACGACCTCTATTGTGTACACTTTCAATCAAACTTTGATTGGTCAATAATTACGTCAGTTATCTCGCAATAAAGCAAAACGTTGTGTTGTGTCGACGCTTCTTTTTTTAATATTATCTTCTTTGATTTTATTATCAATTAATATGATTCTATACGATGAATCAAAAACAAGAGATCTATTCAGTCATAGTCTTATAGATGTACTCTATGATACTTGAGGACATTAGTAAGAATAAAAAACAATTTAATAAATCGAAGTCAAAATGTTTGTGTAAAAGCGTAGAATAGAAGGCGAATTGCATCGAAAGTTAACCTAGGTTTAACATTTATTTTCGTATAATGAGAGAAATTTTATTTGGTATAACAAATGATTCATATTTCGTGCAAGATGAAAATCAATTTTTTGTTCAAACAGATTGACATTTTTTAGAACTTGAATTTATCAATGATTCACTTCAAGATATCGAACATGATTGCATTTATGAAAAGAACATCGTCATTGTTAAATAAGTGTGTCGGTATGATAACAGAGCATATCAATACGCGCACTCATTCACACCTTTTAGTTAAATTACTGTAGATGATACAAATACAATAAAAGAAAAAGAACCGATCATCAGCTCAACGTTCACATTTTCAATCAAGATACTTCAGCATTCACCAATGAAAGACTGAGAGTGTGCATGTGAACCTTGTCTTCATTCTCACACCCGTACCCTCATTCACGAACTTGCAATGATGGATAAAAGATTCCAGTTGAACATGCTGAAAAAAAACAATTACAAATCAGTTTTACTTGGGAGATTTCTCATGATTTATTCTCGTTCGAATTACACCCCAAGTTTTTAAAAAGTATCATTACAGCCTTTGTCTTTTAGTTTTTAAAGTGTTATAATACGATACAGAAAAAGCTTACAACTTAAAATCTTTCTTCTGTTCATACGGAATTATGAATGTTGAATAAGTAAATAAGTATTGTACCACCGATCAGTACCAGATAGCACTACTCTTCTCATGCTTGTATAGTAATAGATGTGGATTGTAAATGTTCTTGCAGCCATCCGACAACATCAAATTCAGGTTCTGTTTCAGACGATGTATTCCACTTAACATCTTTAAATCGAATATTTAATACTTGAAGATTCTTCATATTAGTAACAAGATCCAGTAAACATGTTAAACTGTTGACATTAATAGCAAGCATTTTACACTGAGCACCAAGTGTCGAACGGCTCAGTCGAATGCATTGTTCGTTGTTATAGTATGTACCATCAATTATGGAACTGAAATCTAGTTCAGATATAGATGAACACTTCATTCCGAACAACAATTCTTCTATCATTGTCAATGGCCATTCTCTTACTTTAATTGATGAGAGACGTGGAGCTCGATTGAGTAAGAGTTTCATCTGATGTAAACTATTCTGCTTATTGTTCAATGATACATTCAAAGATATTAATTGGTCAAGTGTTGGAACCACAGTATAAAAATAATCATTAACGAGAAACATGATAACAAGATGTTGAATATTGAAAAACTGAATATGAGATGGTGGCAGACAATTACTTGGAGTAGAGTTGTAGTTGAGTGTACGCACAGAATGATATGACAATGGATTATAACTAAGAGGATATGTCGATTTCGAGTAGGTAGGAAAATAAAAACAGAAATTATCAAAGGTGTATGGTATAGAATAGAGATAATAACTTCCTCTCATTGGGCTCCAATCACATTGAACAAACCATTGATGTTCAACAAGCCAAAATGCCCTTCGAAATGAGTTCAATAGTACATCAACATTTTTTTCTTGATCATGATAGCCAGCATTAATTTGAATTTGTGTTTTCCATTGAAAATATTTGAGTTTAGGTAAATACTTAATAATAATTTTTTCCCAGATATTTCCATCTATAAAAATAGATCCCGTATCCAATGTCAAATCACGTGAATGAGGCATCATTTTTAAAAGATTTACTACATCACTGATATTTGAACGATTAAATAATACTTTCAACTTGCTTATTGAACTTACATATAAACTTTCATGAGCTGCTGAAATTGAACCAATAAGTTTTACAGAAAAGTATTGAAGACGCGGTACAGTTTGGAGTAGATGAACTATTTCACTAAATTCATTGAATTCTTGAAAACAATAAAACTGACGAATACTTGATGAGATCACAGTTGGAATGACAATAGACACATTGATTTTTTCAAAATAAATGTCGAAATAGCAAGAAGCAAGATTAGGTAGTCTCCAGATACTATTTATGAACAAAAGAGCATCACGATCACTATAGCAAACGCTACATCGGTCAAAAATGAGATGACTAAGATTCGATAAATGAGGCAAATCTAAAATGATTTTGTTCATTGTCTGTGATGAATGAATGTATGATAATGAAAGCAATTTCAAATGACTAAATTGACGTAAAGTAAAACCATATGTATAAAATTGATCGATTTGGTTAGATGTATCAAAATCATCCGAGAAATATAGTGCCTCTACTCTATTCATCAGTTGTGGTAGAAATTGCACACAATAAATGTCAAAATCTTGTTTTGATGCTAAGCAAAAATCGATATTTGTATTCATTTTTAAATGTTGTAGAAAAAGATCACGGAAAGAAGATTGAGACCACGAAATGCATGAAGTAGATGAGCAAGAGAGAGATATTTGAACACTACATGAAATAACTCAGGTGGTAACAATTCGAAACTCATTTTTTCATCATTCGTCGACATGATCTATAGTAGTAGAAATCTAATCGAATGACAAGTTTTATGTATGTTGTAACTTTTATAGAAGGTAAACATTATGTAACTCATTTCTTTCCTTTCTCCACATCTGTCTCTGTTTGTGGTATTTTTTCTGCAGAGATTTTTTATTTTGGTTTTTTTTACTTGTATTACCTGCAATGAAATTTATCAATGTGACAAGTGCAAAATAAAAAGAAATTATAATATATTTGTTTCATATGCTCAGCTACTAATTTGTCAAATTGACTGTGAAGCACTCAGAAGTAATTGTTTGCATGTTTATACATAGAAATGGCTTGATTACGAAAAAAAAAGCAATTTTTATATTACGCAGAAACTGAAAAAAGGCTAAACAAAATGACGAATTGTTAATGTGGTTCAACAATATCGAATGAATCCTGTCTCGTTCAAATTATGAACAATTCGAGTATCGAAAATGATCTCCATCGAATTAAATCGAACCCGATGGTTATTTCTTGAATTCGCTTGAATCAAAGTTATTGTTCGAGATAAAGTACACTTGATTTTTTCTAATCACTTTGTTTTTATCTTGTACAAAGTGTATGCAGCATCACGAAAGAACGAGGTTTTTTATAATGAAAGCAATCAACGAACATGATTAGTGTCGGAGAGATGTCTGAGAAAGAAAAGAATTGATGATATGTATTCAAGGTTAAAAAGCATATGGGATGTCGCAATATTGTTTACATAATGTTACATCACCTTTCTAGTCTTTTTTTGGCCGCTCTGTGAAGCATAAATCATTGATAAATACAGAGAACCATACTGAATATAATGGAAACATTTTGAAAGAAGCATGATGAAAATCCAAGGAAAACATTAGTGGGAAAATGTTACATACATCATGTATTAAAACTTTGAGTAAGTATAGAAAACGATATGTTAATATGTGCTTGTAGCAATATTATATTTGTCTGTATGAGAACTAATGTAATTGAAGAACATATATTGCTATTAGTGTTGAGTTGTATTCTACTGTAATCCAATATATCAGGAAAAATGAATTGTGAAAGACAATATTCGTCGTTACTATTTGTTATTCGATATTATTTCGTTACAAGTTTTGTTTTTTTCTCCAAATTATTGTTCCAAATTTTTTTTCATTTTCTGGTTTTTCGCTTCCCGATTTCGATCTATTCAAGGAATATGATATTGACTTACTTAAAGTACAATATTATGATCTATTTTTATATGAATATTAATGAAATCCTAAAAGCAAAAATGGCAACATATTTTGAAGCAAATATTAATTCTTTTTAACAGACATGGGACAAATAATGAGAGTATTTTTGTATGTTCCTGTTGTTATGATAGACGATTGAGGATTGTCTAGCTGCTTAAGTAGTGATCATACTTTCTAGTAACACCAGAGACTACTGCATGTGGATGTGGGTCTTGTCTTCGTCCACGCCCAGAACATCGAATGGCTGAAATGGTTAAAAAAATATTCACAAATGTGTATGAAATTCTACTCTGATTTTGAATGATTGACAGTCAAATGCAGCTTTAATTTTCTGCACAACTCGATTTGGAATAGCAGATTCGTTTTCTGTTGATGCGTAAAATTCATTGATACTTGTTTGGGTATCAGAAACTGTTATTTTTCTATTTTTGACAATTTCGGATATGCTGGAACAATGAATCAATATCAGAAGATGGTTTATAAATAAGTAAGCGTTCACATTGATTTCATACAATAGAGCCATTCGCACATTCAACTTTTGGAATCGACATTCTATCCAATGCAGTTGATTTCAAACGCAAAAACCTTATTCGTTTAACTCTTGTGTTTTTGTAATAGGGTGTACTGGGATGAAATTCATTTTCTATATTCATTCCAAAACATGTTTACCAGAAAAGCAAAAGAATCAACACTTAGGCTATTACTGTTGCATTAAATGTTATCGGTTAATATTGTTGAAAAGTTTTGATGAATAAACAAGAACAATATTATTGTGATTTTTGGTATCATTTCAAATGATACTATGTAGATCTATATAGTTAATTTGAAATATATCTGCCTCGGCTTCAATGGTTTAATTCGTATTGTATAAAAAAAGCACGATAAGTTATGTAATCGCTTCAGATTTTTTTGTAGAATTGCTATGATTCATACAGATAACATGAACCGATAGTTTTATGACACATTGATTTTTACATCAGCCATGAATAAGTACATATGAGAACGATAGATTGCGTTAGGAAAAATGAATTCAACACTTTTCATAGTTCAAACCGCACCCACGCACGAGTCGGATCGAGTTGTAGGACTGTTGTACAGAACAGAAATGCTCACAGGGTGAACTTTTACGCCCTGAAGAATCGATATTCTCTCTTATCGATTTTTTTAAATTCAATTCAACAGTAACAACGTTCGTACATTATATCATAGAAAATTGTTTTATTTAAATCTATTTTACAATATAAATAACTAATAGTTCAACTAACAACGGATATCAGTATTACCAAAAAATGAGGGAAATAAATGACATATAGTCAGCCACAAAAAATCTAAGCGAATTTATTTTTTCTCATATTTATTTTTTCAAATTTATTTTTTCACATTATTAAAAGGTAGGGATCTGATTGAAATAATGATATAGATAGTATGAGATACATTACAATAGGAGGAGACTCAATTTGTCTATATAGATTTTTCATGCTCAAACACGCAAAAATAGGTTTCAATGCTTTCCAATATTTTGCATTTCCTAACTAAGATATTGGTGCTGAAATGGAAACAAAATAGACCAATCGATAGAGAATTTCACGCTCTATCTATTTCTAAAAACAAGGTTTTCTTCCTAGAATTGGTCTTCACTTCAAATGTTTGATTTTAACGAGAATAGTCGGAGAAACGAAAAAACTGTAATTAATTCTTACAAGTTCTCTCTTATCGCAATTTATTACACGCCATTGGAAAGAGCATTTAAAAGAGAACAAAATCATGTATTTGAAATTCTAATCGGACTGGTTTTTCACGTCCATCGTTTTTAAAAAAGTGTTGGAAAACACTACTAACTTTTCTTTTTTAATTTTTTTGACGAAAAAAAAGGTGGTTCATTTTTTTCCACTATTCTCGATAGAATCAAACTTTTGAAGTGAAGATCAACTCTAGGAAGAAAACCTTGTTTTTAGAAATAGATAGAGCGTGAAATTCTCTATCGATTGGTCTATTTTGTTTTCATTTCAGTACCAAAATCTTGGTTAGGAAATACGAAATATTGGAAAGTATTTAAATCTATTTTTTGCGTGTTTAAATATGAAAAATCTATATAGACAGATCGAGTCTCCTCCTATTATAATGTATCTCATACTATCTATACCACTATTTCAATCAGATCCCTACTTTTTAATAATGTGAAAAAAAAAAACTTGAAAAAACAAATATCAGACAAGAATTGAAAAAATAAATTTGCTTAAGTTTATGTCACTGACTATAATATAAGCAAGTTAGATTCACCAGCTTTACTATGGATTTTCATTTGAACAAAAGAAAAAAAAAGTAAGACAACTACTATCTATAAGAAAAAATAAATACCAGCTAGTACCGTTCTCTGTAATCTATTTTCGGTTTTTGATTCACATAGACCTAAAAAAACTCTCTTTTTGAAAATAAAAATTCCGAAACGTGATATTCAAAGTTACAGGATATGAAGATCTCACCTTGTCCTGTAAGCATCTCTGGTAGATAGTTACTGACAGCCATCATAACGCCAGGCAATCTGAGTACTGTCAACACAGTTGGAATCTTTCTTCTTACGATAATAACAACATTGAATGAACCCATCTTCGTTCTATTTGTGCTCAAATTCTATCTGTCTATTTGTATTGTGATAAACACAAAATCGAGTCGATATTCTTGTTCATCATTGCCCCTCAATTATAGCTCGAATGTTGATGTTTTGCCGATGATAGTAAGACATTTATTGTTAAATTGCTTTGTTTTCTTTTTCTCTGTATAGAAATTGAACAGTGATGCTGATCTATCTGCTTACTTCTCACCATCGACGATAACAAATATACAACGTATCTATGAAACGTAATCATATTCAATACATTCAGTAGACAATGTACACATATAACACACCATAAACTGTTTCGAAATTTGTATAAATCAAGATAAAAACGAGTTTTAAAAAGTTCATTTTATAACTCGTCATATCTACTTACCATATATGTTTAACATGATTGTATATCAAAACAAAAAAGAGTATATGTGTGTATATAAAAAAAAAAGAACAAGCCTCGTGCAAAGTCTACTACACACAAATTTCAATAAGCATCAAAAAAAAAACAAAAGCAAGAAAAAAAACTGACAATAATGATAAATGATAACTCTATGTTATATAAATGAAAAAAAAAAACGTGTGTTTCTTTTCTTTTTGTTTCATAAATAATAGCACACAATGACTAATGAAATATGTTTAAAATTGTTGATGTTCTTCAATATGAAGACATTCAATGTAACATTATTAAGTTGTTACATATCATCTGATCTTGATGATTGTACAAGTAAAAATGTTAATGCAGTAACAAAAAATACTAATACAGTTGCAATAATTTCAAAACCAGTAGCCCATCCAATTGTTGTATGATAATGAGTATGAGCATCTGTACGCAATTCATTTTCAGCATTAACATATTGATCATGAGTAAATTTTGATTCTAAAGAAACAAAAAAAAAACACACAAATTAAGTAAACAAAAATACAAAAAAAAAAAAGAATTTATTGATTTTTCTTGTACCATAACGTTTAGCATAATTACGAAGACTATGCAAATCAAAACCTTGTACATCTTTTGCGTCAGTTGCTACAGATGTTAATGGAAATGTATAATCTTCATAAGTATCGCGGCGAAGATCTAGATTTCAAGATAATAAAATATATGTATATATATATTTATTGTAGAATAACTTACATGTACCCACAAGAATTAATGCTGTACTCATTAAAAGTAATGCTAAAAGAAAACAAATAAATGGTCCAAAACCAATTAATAATACTGCAACATCTAAAAAAATATTAAAATTATTAAAATCATATTTTATAAAAAAACAAAAAAAGAAAACTTTTTAAATACGAACCATTTTGTGGTGATGCTATTGTTTTTAAATAAAGTAAAAGTAAACCAAGAACAAGAAAAATTGCAGCTAAAACTGTTAACCATTGTAAACCTTTTGCTGATGGTAAATATCGACATAAACAACCTTCAGGTAATTGTTCCTGTTCTGTAACTGGACAATTACGACGAATATGATAACATGTATCGAAATTATCTGATGAATATCTCATATAACGATTTGGTCGACATATTTGAACATTTGGTCGAATGCCAAGTGCAATTCCTTGTTTCATTATTGTTATATTTGCATATTCACATCGTTGCCAAAGACCATAACTAACTGGTGCCATTATGGGTGCACGATCTCGTTTAGTTATTTTCCAACGAGGTGAACACCTTATTTATTAATTTAAAAGTTTTAATTTAAAAATAGAGTAAATAGTAAACTTACATAGCCAATAAATGAAGAACTAATGCAGCAATACCCAAAAATAGGGCTAATGTTACAAGTACAACACTACGAATTTGCATAGTCTATTTTTATTTAAAAAAACATAGATAAAATAAATTTTATTATTGACATTACGAATAGCATTAAAAAAAAAAAAGAATTTGATTTTAATTATTTGAAAGTTTTACTTACTGAATAATTAAAGTAAAAACTATGAATAATCTAAAAATAAAAGAGAAAACGGTTAAATTCAGTTGACATTTTAATCTACGAGTTAAATTGTCCGATTAATACTTAAATCGGTCAAGATGTTGCCTACAATTATCTATTAAATAATTCACAACTCATTTATATTTCTTTCTTCAAGCTGTTCGTGTACATTATACAAAAAATATACACTCTGCTTTTATGGTTAAAAGAATACCAATAATAACAACTATTTCCATGAAAGAGTATTTCTTGTAGTTGTCCTTGTTTCTATCGACAATCATTGTTATATTACTGTTTCTCTTTTATTCATTACTTCCATCAAGCATAGACATAATCTCTCAACACTAATATACTTACGAATAAATGGTTGATACAGACAAAAAAAACTCTTATTACTCAAGATTATTTTTTTTCCTTCTATGTTCATATTTATATTATATTGATGATAATCAATATGCATATGCAGAAAAAAAAATAAGACGATATATATGCGTCATCAATGAATTATTAACTTTATACTCTTTCCCATTTCATTTTTTTTTTGTATGTCCGATCGCGCGAGTTCACGGGCAAGAATACAAAAAAGAAATAGAAAAAAGAGAAATAATAGATGGAGACGTGCGAACGATCGACCACTGTACAAAACATTAGGAGCACAAATATATTGTTATACATGGCCACATACAGACCTATCTGCACATACACATCAATATTCATATAGAAGACACCGTTGGACGGTGAGAGAAAAAGAAAATCATAAGAGAAAAAAAGAAATAAGAAGAATAGAATGTTGGATGCATACCTAAAAAAAGAACGAAGAAATGGAAAAGAGAAAATTCTTTCTTTCTGACACGACACACTATACAGCCACCATTACCATCGGTTGGTTATCTTTTCCTGTGAAGACATATGCCAAACCATACTATAAACATTAGATAGAAGGCAAAAAGAAAAAAAAAAGTCGAGCAACAATTAAATATATTTCTGTACTCGATACAGCAAACAAGGAACAAACAAAAAAAAAAAGAAGAATAGTTGGATGTGTACAATGAATAAGCGTTTATTAACATAAATAGTAACAAAAAACCACTAATAGAAACATATTGTAAAATAACAAGCCGTCATAAACAATGAAATAAATGATAATAAATTGTAGACTATATAAGATAAACGATTAATCTCGACTATATTAATTAAATGTTAATTAACTTGGGCTACAGCTAGAATAATACTCAATATGTATGTAATTAATGTAACTAGAATAGCAACAATTTCCGCTCCCGCTGACCAATCAATACGAGCATGAAAACGTTCTTCATGAATTGATTTGAATGTTGAAATAGCATTTCGATGTACAATAGGATCTATAAATTTCAATTTATATATCTTTTCGTTTTCTTTTAATCAATTAAAAAGAAAATTTTCAAATTTATACCTTTATAATTTTTAAAAAAAGCATTAAGTCGATATAAATTAAATGTTTCAGATAGTATAGATAATGGAGGAAAAATATGTTTTGGTAATTTCATATCATAATCTTCATATTCATTACGTCTTAAATAAGCACCGACGAGTATCATTGTTATAATCATCAATAATAATGCTATAGTGAGAAGTGCCATAGGTGCAAGAGCTAATAGTAATGTTGCACTTGCTATATACAATAAAACAGAATTTATTTATATAAAATAAAGAAAATCAAACAAACAAACCATTTTGTGGTGAAGCAATTAATCTAAGATATAAACTAAATATAGTAAATAAAAGAAATACAGCAGCTAGAATACAACACCATTGTTGAATTTGTGTTATTGGTAAATATTTGCATTTACAATCAGGATCAACACCAATAATAGATGAACATTGATGACGACTTAAATAACATTTTTTACTTATTTCTTCATTATTAATATCATAACGTAAATAAGTATTTGGACGACAAACAAAATTTTCTATATTTGGTTGAGATGATATGTCTGGAATGACAAATGATGTATTTGAATATTGACATCGTGTCCATAAACTATAATAATGAATTTGATCATTAGGTTCTCGAGGTTGACGAGGAATAGCTACTGTCCATCGTTTACTAAACCTAAAATATTGACTAATAAATAAGTTTTAAAAAATAAAATTGACTTACAATGCTAAAAAATGAAAGATAAGACCAATTATTGCAAAGAAGAGTGCTAAAGTAACAAGGAGTACAGCTTTAATCCGCATTTTGTTTTAAAAAACAAGATTGACTAAAATAAACAAATCTTTTATGAATAGATAATTTTCATAATTTTTTGAATAGGTCAATATTAATGTATATTTGACATATATAATAATCATAAAAACAAAGTAATACAGAATAAATCTTCTAGTCTTATCTTATTTCATCGACTTAGATTATATATATATATGACATATATTGATTATTTATATTTATATCTTAGAAAAAAAGAAATTGATAAAAACCAAAGGATTATTTTGTCTTCATTCTTATTTCTTTGACTACTGGCATGATAAATTGAGTTGAATGGTTCGGATTGTTTTTCTATTCCAACGATTGATAGATTGACAGATAGAATCAATCAGCACCATTAAAAAAATCAAGTAGAAATATGTAAGTCAGTTCTTGCCTACATACACTCATTTCATTGAATTGTCATATTAATCGCTTAACATGACTCTGTGACCTTGATCGAATAAGATATCACAAATGACTAAAGATTCTCATCATTAAAAAATATCTATAATTGACCAGATTGTCACAATGATCAAAAGTAAAAGAAGACAATACAAGTGTGTTCATTAATATATGACAATATACAGAACAATGTCTATATATTATAGTCAATGAGACAATACAAATAGAGATAAGTATCAAATAATATCTGTGCTTTTCAGTTAGACATCTGCACTATATGTGTATATTCATCTATATGTATTTAGTATAACATAAAAAACCAGAAAACTCCAAACACACTTAATAATCTATGAATTTTAGATAGAATAGATAAATAAAAAATGCACTCCCAATTTGTATTTTTCTATCAATCTCAAATTTCAACCAAAATTTTTACAGAAAAAAATTTAATTTTTAATCAAGAATAGATAAAAATTTCAAATAATTTTTCACATAAAATTAGCTTAAAATTAATGAATATAGATAAGATCTAAAAACTATCAAATCAACATACCTTTATTTTTTTTTTCAACTTCTATACTTAGATCAATATAATATATTCACAACAATGCACACGCGTCTTTTGTATTCACAATGATCATTTGCATCAACTAATAAACTCTCTCCCTGTCTTTATTTTACTTTCTACGCTCGAATGATTTTGTGTCTTTTTTTTATGTTGTCTATCTAAGATTATACCGTAGTTAATTGACGACATGAATAGTAATGCGCTATATCTATCCATTGTTGTTGTTGTCATTATTGTGTATCGTCATATAGGTGACTTAGTGCGCGATTAAAACCAATTTTAATGCTTATTTCATTTAATACTCAATCAACTTCATTTGATTGATTAATATTTGCCATTATTAATTAAGTAAAATAAGCATTTAAATTAAAAAATAAATAAATGAAAAGTAAAAATAGATTATATAAATCATCAAATGCATGTGTGAATTTGAATGAAACAATATTTTTTCTCAAACAATTGTCTTTTATAATGTAAACATCATTCAGATTGTGACAATACAAATATATTCGTTCATTGAATTATTTTCTTTCGAAGACTTGTCCGTGAAAATCTTCTAATGATAAATTCACATAAGCTTTTTCAATGGTTTTCATCTCATTATGTTCGAGATTGAATAATTTCTATTGTTTCATAAATTGGTGTTATATTTAGTATTAATATTATTGTTCGCATTGAGTCTGTTACATGAGATGAAACATAAACTGTTGTATTTGCAACTAATGAATGACTTGTAACAGGTGATGAGATTGATACGAGTCTAGAATTACATTTATTAATGATAGAATAGATGTTTCCATGCATAGAAATATTGTCATTTATTTGATTAGATCGATTGAGAAATTATTTATATAGTTTATGGTATAATAATAATCTATTTCCATTTAATATAATAAGAAGATTAACAAGAAACCTGAATGAAAAATTTTATAAGAAAAGATTTTATTTCATGCTCTTTTATGGAACTCACATAGATTTTCGAAGAAAATCGTGAGTGTAAGTTTAAATCGAGGCTTTTGCAGCTCTTCCTAGGCCCACTCCACGACAGACAGTTAGCAGTGCAGGTTCCAATTATAGGGATTAGTAATCTCCCTAGGCCCTAGCAATCGTGGAATGAGGCAGCCAAAAATTATTCCATATATTTTCATAGCAACGAATCGATAGCAATCGGTTGAGCAAAGCCAAAGTGTATTGGATAGATTTCAAAAGCAGATGAAAAACGTGCTATACTATAATAGTAATCAGATTTTCATACTTATCACGTTTACTATAGAATAATGATGATTGTTTTCCAAAAAAACTGAAGACTCTGTCGTCCGAATTATGTTCTACGCATCTGATATTTCGCGTGTTTCCATGCCATTTAATCGAAATGACGTATACGAAGTTAAACGAAATATTACATGTTTTGCTTACAAAAACTGATACAATTTCAAGATTTGATTAATTGACAGTATTATTTTATAATTAAGTTTCAATACAATCGATGTGAAATCATATATATTATAAGCCAAAGTGCAGTATCTATGAAAGAATAATTATTGTGTAATTAACGAAATAATCTCTGTTTATTATCAAAGATAATAATAATTATGTAAATATCAATATAATAAATATAAAATAATAAGATATGCTTTAATTACTTCGTATAATACTAGCGGACAACAAATCTTGTTGATAAGCTGATTATAAAGGTTTATGAAAGTGATTGACAAATGTTACATGAAATGTTCCTCTAGAACAAATTCATTTTATAATTTTAGTTTCATCAAGAAACATATGCGTGTAAATTTTTTCAAAAAAGTTACTTCTTTGTTGGCCTGTGTATGTAACGTAGTTTTATTGGAAAAAAATTAATTATACTGAGGTTTTGATGTTCTTTGAAATAATTATAAAGATCTTGAACATGCGATGTTTGAGATTATTGATAGAGAAAGCACTGGTAGAAATTAATAAGTGCAGTTGAAGAAGAAAATAATGTTGAATTAGAAATAAAAGATAAGTGCTATCGATTATGTTCAGATTTTTTTACAAATATATATTAAAAATAGTGGATTATATTTGTATAGATAAGATACCAATGCTCATAATACGAATATATTTTTGCGGAACTTACATATATTTTCGAAGAAAATTAGTGAGTGTAAGTTTTAAGATCAAGTTTTTGTGCCTTCCCCCATTACAGACCTTAGCAATTAAGAATAACAGGCGTCAGACTTTCTAGTTTTTTTGAAAAATTGATCAAGTTATAATTTTGAAAGATAATCAACATCATGGTTTGTGAGTTGATTAATATATATAATAGTGCACAAGATATGCCTTAGATATAATGGATGTGTAAAACAAACATATTTGCCAATTAATTCAATGATTATAATAATAAGAATGTTAAATTAAGAAAAATGATTTTAAAAAAAATGAAAGATAATGAGCGAATAGCAACAATGCAAACTAAAAATGGGACGCTCTCAAACAAAAAAAAAACTTCTGTTTTAAATGTAGAAATAATAAAATCTCGCTCTTGTTATTGATTATCAATGAAAACAACTACAGTGTACACGAAATTTTTCAGTTTACATATGATGCATTAGAATATTAAGGTTTAAAGATATATGTCAGTTCCACATTTCAGCTTTAAAGGAGCTGCGCTAACAAGCTTTTTTTACAACATAACAGATATACCAATATGTTCTGGAAAAAGTTTAAATATTCATTATAGAATCTTAAACTTATGACTTACAATGAATAGTTCGAGTTTTTTCTTCTATTAGCTTATCATTATGAATATAAATGAAAAACTGAAATCATATAAAATCTGTTTTTTTTTGTCTATAGATCTTATCTATTTCTGAAGAATGAGAGTATTATGATAAGAAAGTTTCCATATTCTGTTTCTATTAAGCTTTGCATTAAACAATCGTCAAGTGAATAGAAACAAAGTTTTATTATAAATATACAAGAATAAACAATATAACGTTTTAACAAGTTAAAAAAAAAATATACTAATAATAAGATATCTTATAAATCTAACTAATAACTGATTTTCCTAGTATAGTAGAGATATTTTCAAGTAATAGAGTTTGTTCTAATAGTTCTTTTTCTAATTGAATTTTTTCATTTTCTAATAAACGGATTTCATTCATTTCTTTATTAATATCCAAAGAATTTTTTGTTGTTTGTGAAAGATCAATAAATTCTTGATATTGTTTTTCAAAATCTGCTGTAGTTATTATTATATCTTGTGAATGTTCAATATTTAATTGATTAAGTGTATTAACTAATTCAAGCATTAATTTTATTGATGATTGAGTATTATATATTAAAACTTGTCGATCAGTTAATTCCAATTGAATATGTTCAGATTTTTGTAAAAATTCATTTATTTTTGAATTAACTATTGTTCGAGAACGACAAAGTGCTGCTACGCATTGAGATATAAGTCCTGATAATTGTTCGTCGATTTGACGAGATTCAGAAAATAATGTTCGTAAAATTTGTGTCTAAAAAAAATACAGTAAAGAAGTTAATTACATGTGAATTTAAAATAAAACGCAAAAGAATCGTACACCATCAGTTTGAAAATTTGTTACTTGAATAACAGCTGTTTCAAGTCGATCTTTAAGTTTCGAAAATTCTTTTTCAATTTGTTGTCGTTCAATTTGAATATTGTTTAATTGTTGAATACGTTTTGTTAATGATTGTTCTTCTTGTTCAAGTTGTTGTTCACGTTGTTTTAAATATTCAGTTTCTTCAAGAAATACAGAAGCTAATTTTAATTGCATTTGAGAAAGTATTGTTTGTAAACTTGAATATGTTGTTCGAAATGAATCGTGTGTTTTAATTGATGATTGAAGAGCTATATCATGTTCAAGACGAAATTGTTCGTCTAATAAGTCAGATTTTTCTGACGTATGAATATCCATTAAAGGAGTCAAATTAAGAGCATAGATATTGTTCAAATTTGATTCAGAAGAAAATATCGATGAAGATCGATTTCTTGGTGTAGATATTATTGGTTTATTATTATCGATTAATGGTGATAATGGACAACTTCGTTTGATATCCATTATTTAAAGTTTAGTATGAATTGAAGAAAGAAAAAAGAAACTGATTATTTCGTTGTATAATATGTGATTTAATCGAGGTTAGATAGAATCAAAAAACAAACAGATGATGAATCATTTATTTAGTAGAAGAACGAACACGAGATATAGTATTAGATTTTGTTAGATATGATTTCAACGTCTTATAACAATATTGAATTGATATTTTTTACATTTGATTTTTTTGTTTTTGATTGATCGAATATTTCAAAATACAAATTATTTTGAGAATGCTATCAAGTAGATGCATTACATTTAATGTATGTTTAAACATCATTCATACTTTTTTTTTCTTTATCAAGATAAAAAAAAGAATCGATTTTTGGATTAGTTAATAGATTAAAAGGATTAGACTCTATCTACTGTGCTCGAAATTAAAAGTGTCGAAAACTGAAGTGGAAATTTGTGAATATTTTCTTATTGAAAATATTTTAAAAAATCAAGCAAACTCATTTAAATCAAATGTTTCTTATCATTGAGAATATCAGATGCTGTTATAATATAATCATTCTATCGATTATACAAGCCGTTTTTTCAGCATTTTGTAATGCTGTTGACTGTTTATTATTTTTTTTGTTTCAACGTATCAGAAGGGTGCAAGTGTGTGTGTTGCTTTACCCTTCACACACACTACATTCTTCGACATTTTTACTTTCGACCAAAATTCAGATTATCAAAGATTGTTCAATCATATTTTATTTCTTGCATACGTATTGAGATTTTACTATAGATGTCAACGTTCATTACAATATCATATGTAGCGAATGAATTATATTCTAAGAGGATGAAACAAAACGATTTGAATTTATTAATTACATGTATATGTTTGATATTATGGTCAGAAATTATCGTGGAAGGAAGAGTTATTGATGATGATGAACTCGTCTAATGTATTTAATTTTTAAGGAAAAGAATTAGAATGAAAATTACTTATATTTCTATA